GGGGAGAAAGAAATCAGCCAACAGGATCCCTGCCTTGGAAAAGCTTCTAACCAATCCTGCTGGATGAACAAAACAAACAGAACTGGAGGATGCCTCCCATACTTGGAGTTTGGCGGGGGCACAGACTACCCAGGGCCAGGTTCAGGGACAGATTCAAAGGCCCCTGGTGAGGCATCAAAGGCCCCCGGTGAGGCCCGCAGCATGAGATTGAGAAGCAGGAAAGGACGGAGGTGGTCAAATGGCACGCAAGGTCAGGTGTGGGAGAGTAGGAGGCAGGTCCCCAGTGACAGTGGTGAGTAAGAGAAGGATTCAGGAGCAAGTGAGTGGCCTTGAATGTTACACCAAGGAGCTCTGACTTTCAGGGAGAGAGCGAGGTGATCACAGAGGGCTTGGGATGGTGGCAGCTGTAAGGAAGATCAGAGCAGAGAGAAACTGAAATCTCACTGCTGAGGCTCCAGAAGCCTGAGTGATGGACTTGGAATAAAAATAACAGTACAACATAGGACCCCACTCAGAAGACTTGATGACTAACTGGATGAGGAGTGGACACTGGAAACACTGTAAGATCTGGAGAGCAGTGGCACTGTTGGGGAGAGTAGATGCAGCAGGAAGGGGTCAGCAATAAACCATTTTCAAAAGTCAGTGGTGCCAACCAGGTGAGCCCACCACGTGGGTAACACCTGCCACCAAGACAGCCACCAATGGAGTGCCATCAGAGGGCAGAAGGCCTGTACCACCAAGTGCCTCACCCAACGACCTGTCACACAGCCACAAACCTGACATCACTTATACAGGACCGAGGTATTGGTGACTTCTCCTTCAAGAGAACAGGACAGGAATGGGTTCCAGGATAGGTGTGAGAATGCTGGATGTGTGGAGGGGAGAAAGCAGAGGAAGAGAGAAATATAAAACAGGGCAAAAAGATGCTCCCCAAAAAACTCTGGGTCCCAACACTCCTGACCAGGTCCTATCTGCGTTTCAACCTTGTCTACCCAGTGGATGAAAATGGTAAGAATGATTTCTGGGTCTCCCACATTGTAGTGGATTGAATTATGTCCCCCCAAAACTCAATGGAGCTAGAATTGTGCCAAGTTTTGTGTATTAGAAACTTGGTCCCCACTCTGGCTGTTAAAAGGGTGGGAAATCCTATCATGGTAACTAAAAGGTGGAGCCGAACAGATGATTGGATTGTAGGACCTTGTAGTAGTGAACGGATTAAACAATAGTGGTCAGGGGCGTGGTTCTGAGGGCTTTAAAAGGAGAGCATGTGAGAGTTTGTCCCTCTCTCTGCTCCACCATTTTCACAATATGATACCCTGCTGTCACAGAAGCCACCACCAAGGAAAGCTTCACCAGATGTACTCCCTGGACTTTAGACTTCCTAGCTTCTGAAACTGTAAGCAATAAATATCGTTTTCTTTGTAAATCATCCAGTTTCAAGTATTTTATTATAAGCAACAGAAATGGACTAATACACACATCATTCTCCTGTCTTTCTGCAGAAAGTGCTAATCAATAGTCACATGACCCAAAGTCATTCTAGATTCTACAGCAGAAACAAAATCTAAAAGTTAGCACCTGTCCATTTAGGCCTGATTTGGTGGTGTGGGACAGTGTTTGAGGATGGGCACTTATTCAATACTTACTAAGAAACTACCATGTCCCGGCCTGTTCTGGGTGGATACACGCATTGTACTCATNGGAGAGTAGATGCAGCAGGAAGGGGTCAGCAATAAACCATTTTCAAAAGTCAGTGGTGCCAGGGCCGGCCCAGTGGCGCACTGCTACAGTGTGCCGCTTGGGAGCATGGCGGTGCTCCCGCCAAGGGTTCGGATCCTACATGCAGACTGGTCCCCGCTCACTGGCTGAGCGAGGTGCGGGAGCAACACCGAGGGCTGCGATCCCGTTGCCGGTCCCGGTCCGGTACGGGCGCGACACTGAGGGTTGCGATCCGTTGCCGGACACGAAAAAAGACAAAAAGGGAAAAGTCAGTGGTGCCAACCAGGTGAGCCCACCACGTGGGTAACGCCTGCCACCAAGACAGCCACCAATGGAGTGCCATCAGAGGGCAGAAGGCCTGTACCACCAAGTGCCTCACCCAACGACCTGCACACAGCCACAAACCTGACATCACTTATACAGGACCGAGGTATTGGTGACTTCTCCTTCAAGAGAACAGGACAGGAATGGGTTCCAGGATAGGTGTGAGAATGCTGAATGTTTGGAGGGGAGAAAGCAGAGGAAGAGAGAAATATAAAACAGGGCAAAAAGATGCTCCCCAAAAAACTTTGGGTCCCAACACTCCTGACCAGGTCCTATCTGCGTTTCAACCTTGTCTACCCAGTGGATGAAAATGGTAAGAATGATTTCTGGGTCTCCCACATTGTAGTGGATTGAATTATGTCCCCCCAAAACACAATGGAGCTAGAATTGTGCCAAGTTTTGTGTATTAGAAACTTGGTCCCCACTCTGGCTGTTAAGAGGGTGGGAAATCCTATCATGGTAACTAAAAGGTGGAGCCGAACAGATGATTAGATTGTAGGACCTTGTAGTAGTGAACGGATTAAACAATAGTGGTCAGGGGCGTGGTTCTGAGGGCTTTAAAAGGAGAGCATGTGAGAGTTTGTCCCTCTCTCTGCTCCACCATTTTCACAATATGATACCCTGCTGTCACAGAAGCCACCACCAAGGAAAGCTTCACCAGATGTACTCCCTGGACTTTGGACTTCCTAGCTTCTGAAACTGTAAGCAATAAATATCGTTTTCTTTATAAATCATCCAGTTTCAAGTATTTTATTATAAGCAACAGAAATGGACTAATACACACATCATTCTACTGTCTTTCTGCAGAAAGTGCTAATCAATAGTCACATGACCCAAAGTCATTCTAGATTCTACAGCAGAAACAAAGTCTAAAAGTTAGCACCTGTCCATTTAGGCCTGATTTGGTGGTGTGGGACAGTGTTTGAGGATGGGCACTTATTCAATACTTACTAAGAAACTACCATGTCCCGGCCTGTTCTGGGTGGATACACGCATTGTACTCATCTATTTCTAGAGGCCTACATAGCACCTTCATTCTCAAATGCCAAAGAATGCTGAGAAGAAATCAAAAAAGCACAGTCTCTAAAATACAAGCAGCTCACCCAACCCT